AAAAAAAAAAAAAAAAATTTACAGAAGCTAGAGTTTTTTAATCTTTGGTTTTTTATGTTAATGGATGAAGAATGTGAAATTAGGAGAGCAAGTATTTTAGTTTTCAGTAGCTTGAGAAATTAGGAAACTTAGGAACTAAATCTTGATGTATTTCTTTTTGTTTGAAATGGATTTACTAAGATTTGGGTTCATTTTGGTTGGTTTCAGACTTTCAGTGGTTGACATTTGGTTGGGAGGGAAAAGGTGGAGGAGAAAAGATGAAGGTGGATGTTTTTGGTCCTCCAAATTTTATCAAGTAATTAAATAATTTTAATTAGATTGGTATATTGCAAAAAAAATCTATGTAGACCTTCTAGAAGAAATTTAAAGTCAAGTCAGAAGTAGGGTTCACAGAAACACACGGAGTTAGTTTCTAATGATTCGCTGATGTCACATCTTAAAATAGCGCTGATTTGCCGCCAGTTGATGAGTCTGGGGGTTTGTTTGCCACTAAAATGAGTTCAGGGGCTGATATGCCATGAATTAGTAAGTACAAGGGCTGATTTGCACTTTTTGCCTGCAGTCTGGTCCGGAACTTTTTTCCGGTAAAACCTAGTTTAAGTCCCTCACCTTACTAAGTTTTGAAGTTTTAGTCTATTACTTTATATTATGATACTTTTACCATTTATCTTATTAGATTTGTAAGTTTTAGCATTTATTTTATACTCTAACACTTTTAACCCCTTACATATTAAAATTGAAAAAAATAACCCTTATTTTGTAACATTTTGTTAGTTCTATTAACTGATTTTTAATTCTATTATATGACTATTAGTTTACTGTTAGTTAATTGTTAACTAACAAAAATTTTCTTTCAATTAACAAAATTAACAGAATTAATTTTATAATATTTTGTTAATTTTATTAACTAACTATTAATTGATTGTTAGTTGACAAAAACTTACTTTCAACTAACAGAGTTAACAGTCAGTATAAAATGAAAGTTATTTTGTTTGATTTTAATAGGTAAACGGCTAAAACCTACAAATCTAGTAAAGTAAAGGGTTAAAAGTGTCTTAGTATAAAATAAGGGGCTAAAACCTTCCAACTTAATAAGATGAAAGGCTAAATCCAGGTTTTTGCCTTTTTTTCCAAAGTACATTGTAAAAAGAAAAGGTAAGGGAGTATGTTACTCGGAACTCACGCGTGAAACTTCTCATAAACTAATCCATTTTTCCGAGCTTGTAGTATCTGTTCCTTCCTCTCTCTCCATGTTCCATCTTCAATGCCAGCACAACCCTTAATCTTTCTCCACCGATTCATTTCGTTAGAAACTCTAAACCCAGTTTAAATTTGTATTCTTTTTTACTTTGTGTTTTAGGTGGAAAAGTTTCTGTCTTTGGAAAGAGAGTGAACCCATTCTTCTTTAGGAAAGCAATAATGGCGACGGCTTTTCTCGCCGGAATCGTGTTAGCCGCCTTGATTTTGCCCGTGCCGGTGGTTCTATGCGAGTTTCCGATTACTTTAAAGCTGGAGAGGTCGATTCCTCCTAATCACCAACTCGAGCTGAGTCAACTCAGAGCTCGTGACGCGGCCAGGCACGGTAGGTTGTTGCAGTCTGCCGGTGGGGTCGTGGATTTTCCTGTTTCTGGGACCTATAATCCGTTTCTGGTTGGGTAATTCTCTGTTTCTTTTCCATTATTTTCAGATGTATTCTGAAATTTGGCTTATGGGTTTCGAAATTGGATTCTGGGATTTGGTTCTTGACGACTTCTGTCTTGTCGGTGGTTGTTAATTGGATGAGAGTGTAATGCTATGTTGATGTTTGTCTGTTCTTTATTTACTTTGTAAGAGCTGGTCTAGTCTCAATGTTTATTTGTATCTCAGATTCAAGCTTCGTTCCTTGGAAAATTCATGCTTTTTCTGGAGGATATTTGGTCCCTGGAATCATTATTTTCTTTTGTTACTTTTTCATTCACTCTTTGGTGGGTTTTTACTTCTTCTTTCTTGCTGTACTTACTGGTTGCTGGTACTTGTAATTGCTTCTAATTAAATGCAATTCTAGATGAATTTCAGTTATATATTTATATTGATTCATTTCATATGGATATATATATATATATATATATTTTTTAAACTTTGCAGGCTTTATTACACGAAATTACAGCTAGGTTCTCCACCACAGGAATTTCATGTGCAGATTGATACTGGAAGTGATGTTTTATGGGTCAGTTGCAACTCCTGCAATGGTTGCCCACAAACAAGTGGACTTCAGGTAATGTCATTTCTCTTTATGTGTATTTTTCTACAAAAATGGAAATTTTGTGCCTAAACTTATGAAATCAAAAGGGGCACTTTACTTCTACAACTTTTGAATTGAGCTGCCATGTTTTCTCTCAGATTCAGCTCAATTTCTTTAACCCACGGAGCTCATCAACGGCTGCATTCGTCTCTTGTTCAGACCAAATGTGCAGTTTAGGACTTGAATCATCAGATTCTGTGTGTTCATCTCCACATAATCAATGTAGTTACACATTCCAGTATGGAGATGGCAGTGGGACATCAGGCTACTATGTCTCTGATTTGTTGCACTTTGATACAATTCATGAGGGCTCCATCACAACAAATTCTACTGCAACCATTATGTTTGGGTGAGCTAATGGAACTTCTCAAGTTAAGATGCTAATTTCTTTTGCTTGTGTTTGCTTGTTGGAGTTCAGGATTCATTTCTTTAAATTTTGGATTGTTGAACAGGTGTAGCACCGTACAGACTGGTGACTTGACAAAGTCAGATAGAGCTGTTGATGGGATCTTTGGGTTTGGACAGCAAAGTTTGTCAGTTGTCTCGCAACTTGCTTCACAAGGAATAGCACCAAAAGCATTTTCCCACTGCTTGAAAGGGGATAATAACGGTGGAGGTGTACTGGTTCTTGGAGAGATTCTAGAGCCAAATATAGTTTATACCTCGCTGGTCCCATCACAGTACGTTACTTCCATTATTTTTTTGAGAAGTGAAGCTTTTATTAATTCTGGATATCAAATGCTTATTTTCTCATTGAGAACTGTTTCACATGGATTTATTCTGCAAAGTTGGAAAAGAAAACATGGTAGAAAGAACTAGGTAGACCTACCAACATGGAATACTAAAATGGAATCCTTATTTTAATTTATTTTGGCTAACTTTTTTTTACTATCAAAATTACAGGCCCCATTATAACCTCAATCTACAAAGTATTTCTGTTAATGGTCAACGGTTAGCAATTGATGAATCAGTTTTTGCAACATCAACCAACACAGGAACAATAATTGATTCTGGGACAACTTTGGCATACCTTCCAGAAAGAGCTCATGGTGTCTTTGTCAGTGCTGTAAGTTATATAAGTATTTTTCCCATCTTCATGCGCAAGTTCTGAACATCCATGCTTTTGACTACCTAAGTAGATTTCTTTATAAAAAGACAAAAGTATGGTATTTAATTTCTGTTCAATTATCCTGACTTTTGTAGATCAGAAGCACCATTCCACAATCTGTGCAGTCTGTTGTCTCCAAGGGAAACCAATGCTATTTAATCACCTCCAGGTTTATTTCCTGACTTACTGTCTCATTTCTTGTTGAGTTCAATCTTTAAGATGATTCCAACTATATGTGTTGATATATATATATATAAATATACATATATTTTGATGAGAAAAGTTTGTGTTGATATTTTGTTCAGTGTCAATGACATATTTCCTCAAGTTAGTCTCAACTTTGCTGATGGAGCATCCATGATTTTGAATCCTCAGGATTATGTTGTACAGCAGAACTCTATTGTAAGTTGTCTAAAGCTTAAACATGCATGCATGCACATAGGTACATATATACATTCACAAACACAGTAAGAATCCATTGATGCTTATGCTATTATTTATATTCATGCAATTTATACTTATGCTGTTTGATGGTCCTTTGTTGAGTTCATCCTAACCCAAATCAATCATCAAATTCAATGATTTAGTCATGAAAATAATGTCTATTTAATCTCTAGAAAGTTGGATATCTAAATTACCATCCAATATACATTTGCTGATGCTCTATGTTTGTTTTCTTTTATTAGCATTGCCGTCCTAGTGGTTTTTGAATGGCACCAAGTTTTGATTGCATATTGGATGCATATTGGAAATAGCTTCCTTCTTTCCAAGTCATTTATTCTTTTATTTTCCTTCTGTATTCCTGACTGTGATGCTGGAATTTGATGCTACAGGGTGGTGCTGCAGTTTGGTGCATTGGCTTTGATAAAATTCCAGGGCAAGCAGTAACAATTTTAGGAGGTACTTTACCTATCAGAACAATCCTGTGAAAGAATTTACTTCATTTGAGGAATGATAATCCCATACCGTATGAAATTCTGTAGCTTTTCTCCTGGGGCTTTTAAATTTTCGAGGCCATAATGAGTTTTGAGTTTTAGTTGAACTATCTGGTTAATTTTTGGCATGAGAACTGGGTTTGCTTATTGTTATCATTATTAGGCTTCTTCATTTATATTTCTAACCTCCCACCTTCATCAACTGGTTGCCCCAACCACATGACTTGGATCTCAAATGTAAGAAAATGCATTTTAAGTCTCACCTCTCTCATGTTGTGCCAAATTACACTTGGGAGTCTTATTACCAACTAAAGTGCTTATTCCAAAAGCATGTCCTGCACCTGTCAGGCATATGTGTTGTATGGAGGTCAATTCTTTGGTAAAAGAACAAAAGATGTGTATTACAAATCTCCAAATATATCAAAATGTATTTACATTTATACCATCCTTCAGCTATATTAGAGCTCCATGATTGTTAAACAAAATAACAAGGACAAAAGGCTGTCTAGTTGGTGGAACCTCCAAACACTGTTCTATGCTTTTGCTGTCTGGTTTCTTGTGCTTTGATTTTTATATATTTCTTGGTTCCATTAAATCCAACATTCATGTCTCTTTTTTTGCAGATATTGTTCTAAAGGACAAAATCTTTGTTTATGATCTGGCCAACCAACGGATTGGATGGGCTAACTATGACTGTAAGTCTACATTACTCACTTGTAACCAGAATCAAGTAGCTGCAAGTAAACCTATCTGATGTTTAACTGATGTCTTTCTCCTCTTGATAATCTGGGTATCTCCTAGAAGTTTCTCAAGTTTCCTTATATAAACTGAATTCCGATGCCTTATATTTTCAGGTTCACAATCAGTTAGTGTCTCGATGACTGCTAAGAATGGGAGAAGTGAATCCATCAACGCAGGACAGTTGAGTGACAGTTCACCACAGAACATTCCAAAGAGCACCACAGCTTTCTTTATGCATCTATTTATGCTTGTCATTGTACTATTTTTGTAGCATACATATATCACAAACAATGAGAGAAGTTTGAAATTCTTCTCCATTCCATGGCATATTCTCTTGCTTAGTTACTATGTCTGTAGATATCATTGATATCATTATTTTCATGATTTATTTTTCTTCTGCAGCCATAAGCTGTGTTCAGTGCCTAGTGTTGATGAGGATTACAATATTTTTGTTAGGGTAACTTTCTTGACAGCATTGTAAGTTACACCCATACACGGGATCATTGGTTTAATGACATGTATTACTGATTTGCAGAAAACTTCTTGTGTTTCATACTTTTAGTAAGTCTCCAAAGTTTTAGATTTACAGGCAGGATTTGCGAACTGCCTTGGGTTGAGAAGGAAGGATGGAGAAGAAATTTCATCCAATTAAATGAAGACATTGGATGAAGGAACATAATTTTTTGCTTTGTTTTTTTTAACCCCTCCTCGTTTCCCTAAACCATGTTGCTTATGGTCCAATCAAATTAGCCGCAGGTGACTGCTCCCCCTTTTTTGAAAAAAAAGAAAAAATTTTCTACACCCAACTAGAGACTGGAATGTGAGATTTTCAAGTTTGGTTTTTTTATTTCACGTCTTTAAAATATATATAAGTTAATAATGTATTTATTAGATTTTTTATAATTAATTAATATGAAAAATATAAAAATTAATTTTAATTTAATTAATTAATTAAAATTATTTATGTATAATAATATTAAAATAAATATCAATTTTTATATTTTTTATATAAATTAATTGTAAAAATATATATTTATTACTCTTAAAAGTAAAAGTTAAACATACTCTTCAAGTTATAATCTCATTTTACTTTTTCCGTCTCAAAAAATTTTTATTTTTCAACTTTAAATTTATCTCTAATTAATTAATTATTTTTTTATTTTTTAAAGTAAACAAATATTTTTTTCTTTATATTAATCTTATCATTATCTATTTATTTTGATTAATTATTTTATCACAAAAATTTTTACTCTGTCTTTTAATTTTTTTTAAATAAAATAAATAAATACAAAAATAAATTTTAAATCTTTATTTTTTAAAAAAATATAGAGTATTCACTAATTAAGGCGGACAATAAAGTATATAGGTTAAACTTAACATCATGCGCAGACTGAGGAGGTTTTAAGTAATTTTCCCTTTAATACAATTTCTTTAATTTCGCGGCAAAGTCCTTCTCTCTCTCTCTCTCACAAAAATCGTCATTCCTCCCCACCGTAAGCCGGGAACCACCAATCCCACAACACTTGTCTTCCTAAGCTACCAAATTTATTCGAGAATCTTCCAAGATTAAATAAAAAAAAAAATTTCTACAGCTTTTCAACACAGCAAACCTGCACTAGGGTTTTCTCGTATCCAGACAAGATATCTGTTTGTTGCAATAGAAAAAGAAAAAATCTTAATTTCAATACCCAATTGGTTTAATTTTTACTATCTTGTATTTTTCTTGTTCTTCTGGGTTTCAATGGCGGAGGATAAGAAAGGAGATCGGTGCGAAGTGAGCGATTACTCATCGGAGGATGAGGGGACTGAAGAGTACAGGAGAGGAGGGTACCACGCAGTGCGTATTGGGGACACCTTCAAGAATGATCGTTATGTGGTGCAGAGCAAGCTTGGTTGGGGTCATTTCTCCACTGTTTGGCTTGCCTGGGACAATCAGAAATCGGTACTTCTTGTCCTTTCTGCTCTTTTTTTTTTTTTTTGGGTATGTCAGTTGTGTGTAAACGTAAAGATTACTTCTTGTAAAGGACAATCTTTTGGGTTTGGTTGGTTTGCCATTTGCTAAAAAGGGTCTGTAAAATATGAGAGAATTGAGTAAGGTATAGGTTTATTCTAAAAGGGGTGTGTTAAACATTTTTAACAATGAATCATGTAGTTAAATAGGAAAATAAAGAACAATACTAATTTTGGGTTCTCTGAAAGCTTACGTTATCCTGGTCTCCAAGAACAATGGGTGTCATTGGCTCATTGCAAGTGATGTAGAAT